CTCACCCCGGTCCGAAAGGAAGAGGCTGGCCGAGCCTCCAGAAATTTTGGGTGATGCTCTCTTCTCTGGATAACAGCGAGACTTCTGTCTCTCCCAGTCGTGATTCGATCCGACCGAGGCAAATTGCATTTATTGCTTTTGCTGTTTTCCGTAAGCCTGTGTAATCCCAGGACTTGCCCAACAGTCTCTGGCCCATATTCCTTCTGCATTAATATTTGGCACCCACAGTTTCACCCTTCTTGGCAAGGCAGAACCGCCAGCTGCCAGAACAGCCGGCCTGTCGTGCTCCTGCGTGAGCCATGGCTCTGGGCTCACCTCCTGGCTGGAAAATGCTCAAGATGCTGATACAGAGACCCAGCGGGCAGCCTCCTCCGAGGTCAGCTAATGCTGCTCTCTCCATGTGCTGAATGCAATTCGGCCTCTAGCTTTATTTTTTTAAATTGAACTGTGATTAGCAAACATTATCAAGTAACTAAATTAACAGCAATCCAAGATGCATAGAGAAAAGAGGGATAGAAAAAAGAAAGAAAGAAAGAAAGAAAGAAAGAAAGAAAGAAAGAAAGAAAGAAAGAAAGAAAGAAAGAAAGAAAGAAAGAAAGAAAGAAAGAAAGAAAGAAAGAAAGAAAGAAAGAAAGAAAGAAAGAAAGAAAGAAAGAAAGAAAGAAAGAAAGAAAGAAAGAAAGAAAGAAAGAAAGAAAGAAAGAAAGAAAGAAAGAAAGAAAGATCTAATAACAAAAGAAACAGGTACTATCCATGCACAAATTTTCCATCCATGTAAATTATTGTCATATTCTGGTTTATTGTTATTTTGGGAAACCATAAAATCCATCCAAAGTTGATAGAACTGGGGGTCCTGCCTCTCATTATTTTAACTCTGATTTTTTTCTAACGTGGCAATGGAAAAGGCCTTGTTAATCCACTCTCAAGTGTTGCGTTATCTAGAGTTTTCCAGCGTTGGGCAATTCTTACGTGAGCTGCTAAAATCAAGCAGATAAGTTGCTTATTTTTAAACCTGAGATTTGGTCCTATAAATAAATGCAGTAAGTCTACCTCAAAGCAACCTCTTCTGAGGACAGCTAATTCTGCTTTCTCCGCGCGCTGAATGCAATTGGGGCGTCTAGTTATAAGTCCTGCAGAGATCAGAAGGAAGGCTACGTCGAGGCCACAAGGGTGGTGGAATAAGGCAGATGTGCAGCGGGTCCCCTCCTTGGGTAGATGAATGCTTTAGGGTCTACAGCAGTGTTTCTCAACCTTGGGAACTCTAAGATGTGTGGACTTCAACTCCCAGAATTCCCC